TTTGCCTGTGCTTGGTACATCAAATATCAGTATAGTGCATCAAATAATGCACAATTACGATTCGTTATTTCGATCAATGAATCAGATAATATTGGTCGATATATAAAATTATCAGGTTTAATGAACGATTAACGAAATCTAATCGCAAATCAAAAATATCTACAATCAACAATATGGAACAAATGAGTGAAAATGATGTTGGTTACGATGCTATCTCGAAAACATTCATATATACAGAATAACTCACTAGACATTTCTGTTCAAAATAATGTAAAAAAAGAGCTATTTTTTACTTGCATTTTGTATCGAGACAAATGCAAAGAGTACTATTCTTATTATTATAATATTAATTTATTTTCTATATAGCTATTATAGCATAAATAATAAGCATACCTATCAAAGGCGATCATTATATTCGATGGAAAAGAAAATAATTATACAAAATGCATCTATATATAGCAATAATATGTATAGCAATAATATGATCGACGATTCGAGATAATAAATGAATTTTATGCGAGTAAATGCGCAAGTTGATGCGCACTATGACCATTATTTTAAAATATCGGCAACATTGGGATGATTAAAGCTTATTTTGTCAGTTGATATAACAGACAAATTATATCAAAAAATTATTTCATCCATCATTTCGTCCATCTTTCGATATTTTGCACAATATGTTATATGTATACGATCGTGTACGTGTACGTGTTAAGCAAAACGTTAAGAAAGATCTAAACGAAACGTATAGTTGACATTGGTATTATAGACATAAGATACTTGACTTATACTTGATAAATATTATAGAATTTTGAAGCAAAAAAAAAACTGAGATTCCCGTCGCGTTTACATTAGAAAGATTGGTATCCAAATAACCAGGTAACAAAATATTACCTACGGATAATAGTTGACATATCTAAAAAGAAATAAAAGATAGTTGCAAATCCGCTGTTTTTCAGCGTGTAAGTGACGAATAAATAACAGCGACGCGTAAAGAACATTAAATATCGGTGAATCAGCTGGTACGCGCTACCATAACCGCAACGGCTGTTATTGATCCGCAGCCCGCGGTGGAAGGTTCCGCACGCGCTCGTAGCGTACATTGCGCGGTACATTGGCTCTTACACGTCGTCAGCAGACGACGCCAAGTAGTATCCACGAATTTACGATTTTATATTACGATTGCGACAAGAGCGCCGCATGATGCATCGCTGCACTCACCGATATGCTCCTTCTCCGTCCTAGAACCAATGCTAAAAAACCGGGGTAAGCCGCATGATACGCGTAGGACAAACCGGTGCTGGAGCGGTCACCGAGAAAACGACTTGGGATTAATATAGGAAGAATATTCGAATGCGCACTCGATATGGAATTAGAATAGGAGAATGAGAATGAGGAGAAGGAGAAAGGAGAAACAGAGAGGAGGACACTCGCGCGACGAGTGTGAGTGAGAGCAAATCGCGATACGATAGAAAATCGGCACGACGATTTTTCGGCAAAATAATCGATCAAGGAGCACGGATGACGCGCACCGGGAAACTAATGGCTCTTGGACTCGCACACGGCTACCGTGTATCGTTACCGCGAAGCGAGCGACGACGCGACCAGCGGCACGAGCCAAGGGTGAAATTTCACCGATTGATTGCGCGCGCACCGCGTCTCGCGCACTGCACCTCGCGCATCGCGCACCACCTACCACCTACCATCTACCACCAACTACCTACCACCTACCATCTACCACCAACTACCTACCACCTATCATCTACCATCTACCATCTGTCACTTATCATCTAACATCTACCACCTATCATCTATTACCTACTACCTACCACCTGTCATCTATCATCTATCATCTGCCATCTACCACCTACCACTTTTTCTTCGCACTTCAAGTATTCTCATCCCTGCTTAATCTCCGTTTATCCCCCCCTCCTCTTTCCCTCAATCGTCTGCTCATCAACCGCTCTCGATTCACTATTCTGCCGTGTTTTCTTGCACGCTCCATTTTACTCTAAAATCGTTGCGAGTATTCAATTCCTTTACCACGATTACTATTACGTAATCTCCCTATGAAACAAATGCACACGTCTTTTCTTTTTCTTCTCTTCTTTCCAACTTTCTCTTGTGAGAAGATCTGAGCAAATAGAGTATTTGCCCACACATCGCGCGATATAAATACTGTTTATTTTAAACATATCGTTTGCTGTACCGACATTGAATTACTATTCACTTACAATCTTGGAACCTTGCTAAAACTAATTGACTACTCAAAATTTTTAATAATGTTTGAATATGTAGTATATATCGACAATGTATAATATTTTATAATTCTTAAAATATAATAAAGTGCATTTCACATAATGACACGAAACACATGTAAATATTGTATATTCTTTCCTCATACATGTACTAACTTAACGAAAATTTCAAGGATCGAAATTCTGCGATTTTAATTTTCGATAGCTCAACGCAAAAATTTAAATTGTTAAAACTCGCGATTCAAAGTATTAAAATATAATGAAAAATAAAATGAAGCAAGTTAGCTTTCAAGTATTCCAACTTTAAAAGTTACAACTTTATTATACTTTTATTTTCATTTGTTTTATAGTATAAACTACGTTATAATTACAATAATATTATAAATAATACAAAATAACAAATAGTAAAACACACACACACACACATACACACACACACACACACACACACACACAACGCCACACACAGAATCATTAACAAAGTTATGTAAAGTATATTAAAATATCACGTTTCTAGTAATTTTAGTGTTTTTAATAATGGATAATAACAGCGCAAATGAGAATCAGCGCTGTAGGACGATGCGCAAACTACATTTTCAATTTTAACTCAGTTATTAGTAAAAAGTTCTAAACGTTTCAACTTAAATTTAAGTCATCTTCAGTGGTACATCTCCAGCGTGTTTTTTTTCGTTAAGAATAAGTTGCACGTTTCTATAAAACAATAGTTTTAAAACAATAGTTAAAACAACATTTTTAATAAATGAAATTTGAAGGCATTTTAAAATATATTTTATTACACGAATCAACATACACGTCAATGTAGATTGACGTATTAATTCAGGCTTAAAATAAGAATCCTCTTAAGATAACATAGACTTAGTTTACACTTAGCCGTCCAATCCCGGTTCATTTCAAAATGAAATGGATTTAGGGAGCGTTTATACCAGATTGATCTTACTCCGTTAAGAAAAGAGGATTAAAGTGAATGGAAATTAATCCGTTTACACTTAAGAAATATTACTTCATTCCGAAGTGAATCGGGATTGAACGACTGGGTGGAAACTAAGTCATAGAGAATTTCTTATTAAATATCGAGACTGCTTTCCAAAACTCATCGAAATAAACTTCTTCCAATCATGACGTCTGCAAATGTATTTATATAGCTCATAAGTCCATGACTCATAAAACTAGTGACAGTTAAACATAAGAAGAATAATTGACTATTGGCCAGTATTCAGTATAGTCAGTTCTTATATTTAAGATTGTCTTAAAATTTCAACTAATAGGATAGCTGTATGAGCTTATTTATGACGATCTTAAATATAAGAATTGACTATGAATACCGGCCTATGATCAATTTCGGGTAGAACTCGATTGCCTACATTGCCGATTAATCAATTTAAAATAAAATTTTTTAGGGTGCGTCCCATTTGACCCGCTACAGTTGGACACAGTCACTTACAGCTTACGACCGATGCCTGGAGATTTTCCACTGGATCTACCAATCAAATAATTTTATTTTGAATTGGCCATTCGGTAACGTGAGCAATCGAGCGTCACCCAATTTTTTGCTTCGTTAGCGTTGCAAAACCAGCTTTTTTTCGTTCCATGAAAAGGAAGAAGGCGATAAGCAATAGCGTTTCAACGCTACTTTTCATTGAGGTGGAGTGGGAGTAAAAGCTAGCTTTGCTTCGCTGCATGAAATTACAGCTTGAGAAAATGAACCAATCAGAATCTTTTATTTCCATTGTGGGAGTAGAAATAGAGGATTATGATTGGTTTATTTTTTTATGCATTATGCAGAAATATATGCTCCGATCCTTAATGCGTACCATTTTGATTCGCGTATTAAAATTTGCATATAGTGTAAACTAAAGAACCTTTTCATACCGACGCTTGACGCTCATTTTTAGCGTCAAAATAGACCACGTGATTAAAAGTGACTGAACTTCCAAAGTTTCAAACTTCATTATGTTGCATTAGCTTTGACCACGTGACCTATTTGATGCTAAAATGAATGTCAAGCGTCGTATGAAAAGGCTCCGTAATAGATGTGGTAAAAGTTATTTTCATCAAAAATCCGATTAATTTAATCGGCCGATTATTTCATTGGAATTGACCAGTCGTATTTAAATTGTTAAATTTGTAGATATATTGTGATGGTCATTTGCAATGGAATAATCGACCGATTAAATTAACTGGTGTTGGTGAAAGTTGCCCTTATTACATCTATTATAGACCGGAATTAAAGCCGTGATAAAACTCAACATGTAATATCAAACACTCGCATTGAGAATTAAACTTTTATTCAAATTACGTTTGACTGATCTAAAAGATTAAAAGATTATTTTGGTTGAATTTCAAATGTGAGACAAGACATTACACGCGATGTTATTATCCTTAACCGTCTTCTTGCGTATATACTTTGCGTATATACGTGATACATACATAAATCGTCTATATAGATTATAAAGATCATATTCATATGCGTATGCGCATGTCACCTGCTGCAATTCTATTACTATAAAAGTTGGATATGATTTTAATTCGTCTACTCGTAAAAAGAGATTAAATACGGCATTAGATTAAGCAAAATAATTTCAATATGAAACCTACACTCGTAGCTGATGAAATGTTTCCCGAAGGAGCTGGACCTTATGTCGAATTAGAGGAGGTAACGTATATACATACTAGTGAGGTTAGAAAATGTTTATGTTGATATAGTAAAT